CTACAGCCTTTATATATTCTCCCTTTGTTTTTGTGAAAGTGGGGTCAAACTATTCATGTTTCTGTCCATCCATTCAGTAATTTATCTAATCCTTCTGTGAAGCCAGATACATTTAAAACATCCCTATTACTGGAATCATAGTAAAACCCAGGTGTCCAAAATGTAATTTATATGCCTTTTAATGACATTATACACTAATACCATATTTACTTGTTTGTAAGTCAAACTGCAAACAAACAAGAAAGATCCTGATCTGCTGTAGCATAATGTTCATACAGACCCGGTTATATGTCCTTTGTTCTACTGATTACTTGTGACAAACTGCACAGATCCAGATCTGCTAGTGAAGTATGCTTTTGGAGATCAGTATCTTTGCAGTCAGATTTGTCTTACAATTGTCAAGACAAATAATTGTTGACTATTGGTGTTTACTATGACCCTCCTATAGCAATAAATTTCCACTGTCAGGCACACCAGCTAGTGATCAACAAATAATCAAAAATCCTAAAAGAGGAGCTGGCAATCACACTGGTAAGCAGTCTACTTGAATTGCTTATGCACAGCTGACTGACAGATGCCACATCAGCTGATGTATCAGTTTCACCCTTTCTGAATGTCCAGTCATATCAATTTGGTTCAAGCCAACCAAACAAAATATGTAGTCACAATTATAGAAGATGGTGCTGAATATGAGGCTATTAACAATGCCTAGCACCAATATAATTACTAAAAACTGATGATGAAATGCCCTTATGAGATAAATGAAAATTTATTTTAAAGTAGATAATGCCCGACTATATAACATTTAAAATATTTTCAAAAGTGAAAATATTTTTTTAAAATACAAAATAAGTTAGAAATATATAAAGCATTTTCAGCAATCAGCTTATATGTTAATCGGGGAATATTAGATCGTTCACCATAATAAAAAAAATTGCATTTCTTGTTCATAATGATGTTGATCCCCGATATTTGTGTACAAAAGAGCTATTGCCTGATAACAAACAATTTGGACATGCCAATTACCAATATTATACATGTAAATGATGTTGCATTAAAATGAAAATCAAAACAAACTGGATTCAAATATATTAAAACTTGTTATAAAATATACAAAATAGTTGGTACTTTTGAAAATAATCTTATCGTTGCATCATTATCAAATGGAAAAAAATAAATTGGAGTTATTATTATTTACCACTTTGAAAAAAAAATCTTTTGTAATGCATGTAGTAACAATAACTGAATGTTCTCTAACATCTGTAAATCTAAAATCAGTCACTCGTCAAATTTTATGTTATTAACTTAATACAATTGGTGACATATTTTTGTTATATTGGCAATAGAAGATTAAGTTAGTAGTACCTATTTAATATAAGATATAGAACCTATGATTCTTCTTCATTAATGACCATCATCATTGCTGCCATTATTAACAGCTGTTGAATCAATATTTCCTTATTATCATCATCATCATCATTATAATCATCATCATCGTTGCCATCATTTGTTATAATAAAAGATAATGGTAATATCCATAGCACCGCTCATTTAGGAAGACTAAGAAGGCGTAGTATTTTTGCTAGTAATGAGCACAAAGTAAATAATGATAATAGTTATTGATGATGCCACACACACACACCAAAAGAAGATGTGATGTTATATATATAAAAAAAATCGGTAAAACTAGCAATGCTGAGTAAAATCGATGCGCTACACACAAAAAAAAAAACATTTTATTTCTCCCAAAAGATGTGTGCTAAGGAACTGTGATAAACGTATTTTCATAGAAAATACGGAGATGTTTATGAAATAATGAATATATTGCAAAAAGTTTTTCATTGACAAACTTCAATGTTTTCCGCGAGTTTTATCAAGTAATGTCCTTCTATTGTGACGTTGACGTCTTAGAACTGTTATGTAAGAAAAATTTATTTTTAGGTAGTGAGTTGTTTGTTCCAATGGAATGTCGAGTTAGTTCTGTAATTGTTGTTTTCTAACAAAACCTTCTTCTCATTTCTTGCTATGAGAAGGAATCTTATACTGTTTAAGATATGCATCGGCTCTTGATCAGAGAGGGAGAGAGAGAAGAGTCGTCCTTTTAAGAATAAGGTGTCACTTATAATGGTACATCTTTGGAGAAGCTCTGGCAGCAAGAGGTAGCGGAGATTGCTGCAAATATAGACAGACACTCTTCTCTGATCTGGGACTAACAACTTTTATTGATAAATATGAACTATATTCTAAAGATACACTTAGGCATAAAATACATATTACAATACATATTGAATAATTTCTCTATGATCTACAACTTCATATGCTTTTAAAGTTTCCTGCATGATACAAGTGATTATTTATTGTTTGAAACCTAAAATTCAATAATTACGACTGATTATTTCAAGGAATATATTTTGTTTCATTTATTTTAGAATAACAACCTGCAAAAGATCACTGGACATTATACTGTATTATCTAAATAATACTATGAAGCTAGTGAATTCGTACAAATGAACATAGAACCAATAAAATATTTCATTACATTATAGTCGTATATAAAAAGAGAACTCAAAAAATATTGCAACTACAAGTTACTACAAAAATCTTTAAAGGTAAGTAGTAGGAAATTTTCACCTATAAATATAGACCCTCTTCTCTGATCTGGGACTGACCGCTGAAGATTCACATAGGCTCGGCCTTTTTTATCCCGAGATTACGTGGCACAACTACGTGTCTCAATCAGAGAGTCTGTCCTAATGAAGGCTAATCTCGTGAACGGATTACCTTTTTGTTAGGTGTTGTTTAAATCCTTTCATTATTGTAAAGAGGTTATTATATTTGTTCCACTCCTAACACGGATTAAGGCTAATTTTGATAAATCACTTTTGTTCCACTCGTGACATGGATTACCACTCGTAACATGGATTATTAATTTTGTACTAGTTTCAAAGAAAACGAGACCTGATTGGTTCGGATGATTAATTTCTTTACAGTTGAAAAGAAAGCGAGCAAATCGTTTATTGTTATGAACTCTGAACCATACTATTTATGATTACATTTGTGAAAAGCGGCTTCTAAAGTAAGTCGGTTGTTATGTCATCTAGGCCATGAAATATTGAACCAAGTTATTTAATTTTGTAACTAATCTCAATTTTTAAGGAACAACATAGTCCTAAACACCTTTTAATTTCTCTACCAAAATTGATATCCTAATAGAACTAGTAAAAGACTTATCTTTCGTTGTACAAGATAAGGTTTTTAAAAAACCGTCACGCTTGCATTGGTCTATTTTATTGTTGATAAATCGCCTCAAGTACGTTAATTTGACTTGTGTTTTAAGAATGCGACAAAAGGCAAATACCTCTTCGGCTAGTTTAAATTTGGAATATAGTTTTATCGAAGAAATGACAACTTTACAAGACAACATGCATTTATTCGATTAACCCGCACTTTAATGCGAGCAAAACAACATCAGACTCGGAATAATATTTTCCGCCTTTAGTCGTAAATATAAAACAATAAAATGGGATTGATAAATATTAATAACAATTGGTACGGATATAGATGAACGTATACACCACCAAAATTAAGATGCTTCTGTTAATAAAAATTTAATTAAACTGAGATCAATACTATCGTCCATTTCATCTTTTTTTTAGTTATCAAAATATTACTATAATCCCAAATTTGAAAGGATGGGCAAAATAAACAACATAATCTACTAAACGAGACTGTTTCATTATTTAGAACTAAAGATTCCTGAAGAGCGATTCTTTGGTAATGCCATTTACAGGTTTCAAGGTCATAGAATAAAATCTATTTTTGGGTTATGGCCTAGTGAAGGAAATCCCATTCACTGGGTTACATTATTTTTCTCCCCACGAGGCAAATTAACCCGGCGACTAGGATTTCCTTTTCTCTGTGTAAATGACAACATAAATTATTTTTCTCACTAAAATATTTTCCTTTAAAGTTAAAAGAATTCTTTATTTTTGCAATATAGCACATACAACACATATAGTATTCATCATTCACTTCAATTCCTTCACAATTTATATATAGATCATTCTAATATTTTTTTTAAAATCTGAATAATCATCTCGGTAGAAATCCAACTCCGTATTTATTGTATATATTGGGACACAATAAAATAATTATTTTCTTTACTGTTCCAGAGCTTATGGTAAAACTTTTTTGTTCACATATAGGTCATATGTCAAGACTTGAGAATCAAAATAAATTTGTATTCCATTTGTGCTTCTCCTCGCCCCATGCACATTGCAATAAAATAAACAAAACACTTATTTAATAATAAAAATAAAGAAACAGACCTGTGTCTTGTTATAATTTATTTTCGTTTTTCAACATGAGCATTAACGAATAAAATATTTCCACGTAATCCGTATATGTAGCACACAGGGGCTCGTATCGTTGCTGACAATTTACCGGTCATACAGGCACTATACAATATAGACAAGGAAGAAATAAATAAACAAACAAAATACGGAGTTCACATATATTTGTGTTCTAAACACCTTAGAGGAGACTTAATCAAATCTGTGTACATGAACTAAGTCAGGGTGTGCAGTTATCCAAAGAAACAATGTCTGCTACAAAGATTGGAACGTCCACTACCATCTGGTGATCAGCCCATAAAATTGTTTGCCATACATTATAATGTTTAGAAGTGCAACTGTTTGCTGGATATGGAATTTAAGTGCAAATCCCTCATTTACTTATAATGTCAATTGCTTATGGTAGCTTTTTATTGTGCCTATTATAAGTTTCATTTTTCGGAAAGACTGCTATTACACAGGGAGTGTTCCTTAAATATGCTTTTCTCTATAGTTATTTATGGACTCAAATGCCACTGAAATTATGTCCGAGTAACATTAAAGTCGTGGTTAAGTTCTAAATCAACGTAAAACCATTGTTGTTATACTACAACTGTAGAATCAAAAATAATTTGTTGAAAATGTTTTCTACATCAATCCTGATATCTCTGGTAGCCAAGTTGTTAGAATATCTGCCTCAAATGCAGGAGGTTGCTGGTTCAAACCCCAGCCCGCTCAGTGCTCTGCATTAAGAGGTTAGTGTTAGGACTGGTCAACCTGGAGTCATGATAATGTGACTGGATGCGACACGATCACCCAGTGCTAGACATCGCTATAAAATGCCAAATTTTAGACATTATAATGATTCGACTGAATTTTTATTAAAAGTTATATTAAAAATCCTTATGACCACACACACACACACACACACACACACACACACACACAAATTACAGCAGTCCTGATTAAACAAAAGGTCCTTCACAAAGAAGGTTAAGTTTAACAGCATCTATAAATATCCTTATAAAGTGCATGCTGTATGAAAGCAGCAAACTTAAACTCTTAGATAATCCTGCTTTTTTTCTCCTTTTTGTTAAAGGTTCATTCACATAGATAATAAATGGTTTGGCTGCAGCAATACCACTCTTTGATTTTCTGCCTCTAGATTTCAGTGACTGTCCCCGTATGACAGAATTAACTGTTGAGTAAGAAGAATGTGTTGCATTCCCATTATGAAGGCCATGTTCTTGACAGAAGTGATTTTCCAATATGTCAGTATTAAACCTTGATGGCACAACTCCACAATGGGGGAAGTCTTCAAGATGTCTGTTGCATATTTCAGGAAATGTTACTAACAGATTCAACATCATCACAGCATTGAATTGATAGTAAACGTTTTGATCTTTTACACTTGGTTATGCTTTCATCATTCAGGACTGAAATACACCAAGTTTTGAACCGTTGCAAAATATTGCACAAATACTGCAGATGCTCATCATCAACATTCTTGACAGGCCTATGATCTCTGAACATAGATATCATTTTACTGGTATTTTCCGGCAGTTATATTGTGCTGTTAAGGTGTGATCCATCGGGTAAACTTGCCTGATAACTCTTCATCAGGAACAGAGCATTAAAATCCAACATTTCTTTAGCCAGATGATTTCGCATCTTCTCTGCTGAATACAAGTGAGAATCTGAAACCTTGTGAAGTATTGGTCTGCTGTGCATCTCCCGATCCCAGTGAACTGCACTGATCTAGTGTTTCCACAAAATGTAGTTTTCATTCAGTTTCAGTTTCCTTGTAAGCAGACCCTTTATGTCACCACTTTTCAGTACACCATTTCTAATTTTGTTTATATTATGCAAAACGTCTTGGGACATTGCAACCGATTTAATTGGATTCACCAAGTTTAGAGCCATGTATTTACTATCTAATGGATTCCCATTGAAATGAGATTTTATAAATTGCCTGTTTTCTTCACCACCATCCTGTAATATGTAATCCACAAAAAAATCCCCCGTCCTGCAACCTAGCAATGACATCCCATATCATGATGTGCAGTTCAGAAGCTTTTACAATACATTTTGGATAATGACAAATTGGGAATCTGAAGCCAGTGTACCCGAAGAAATATATCTGTATTACTTCTGTTGCTAGCTTTTGTTCAACTTTTCCTTTTTTTACAGTTCTCAGATCATTGCCTTAATCCCCAGTGTCAGTCTATTAAACTAAATGATGCTTGCCACCTGTCATATTCAGAACAATATCCTGTTGAATTTTTGTTTCATCATGGATCAAACCACCAGCCCATCCCTTCTCAGGAACATCTGCATCTTTTGCAGCCTAGTATATCCAAAGAAAAACTTCGTCCTGTGGTCCAGCTTCTTGTGGAACTCTGTTTTTGTACCTTCTTAAATGTCAACCGGTTGGAAGGATCAACATGGTACTGTCAGCTATCTATTGGTATGTTCGTGGGCTCCTTACCCATAGTGCCAGGCAAACACTGATCACTCTTATTTCATCGTCTTCCATTTGGACTATTTGCCTTTAGTGCGGCAGATTGAGATTAAAATAACAGTATCATATCCTTAGATGCATTAGGAAAGCACTGTTTTAAACATTTCTCAAGTTCTTTGTTATCTTCATTGCTTAGTTCTACTGTCTCCTCTTCATCATAGTCATGTGTGTTTTGCTTTTTAAATTTGCTGTTACTCTTACAGCATCGACAATTTTTGGTTAATCCCCATGGAAGAATTTGATGACAAAATCTGGAACGCAGCACCCATGTATAATTATCAGAATTGTGATATTTCATTTTTTTAGTTACTGTCAGTTAAGTTTCTGGAGTCCAGTTTTGGCACACAACTGAATACCGACATTTTCTTGACAATGTCTATGATCCTCTGCAGACATCTTTCTGTACATGAAAATTCATTGCTTTTACCTAATTTACACAGGTCAACAGCTTTGTTTCTTACAGTAAGTGTATTTCTGATATATTGATTGTTTTCATGATAATACTGCCACTGACATTTCCTGAATATCCAACATCAATTATCAAATCTTTCATTGAAGGTAGAATTGTCACATCAGTAGTAGGGGAAAACAAGATTCACAGATCAAACCTTTATTTTACCCCTCCAAACAAATACAAACTATGTCCTAAACTATACCCCCAACCCCTTTTTTTACAAAAGTATTAGTAAGGTTTTTAGCTCACCCCCCCTCTCTGTTATTACAGTGTTAGTGAATCCAGGTAGATATAATGTCATGTACGTGATTGATATCCAGGTAAGCTAACACAAACTCTGTCCTTATACAACAAAAGGTGGTAGCCTGTTCTGTATTTTTACACAACAGGTGCAGGTATGATGCCATGTGATCGGCGAATCATCCAGGTAAGCTCGCATCATACAGAGGTTGTAGACCAATGAAATCTCAATATTCACACGTGATCGCCAGTATATAAAAGACCTGTAGATTCTTAATTACGCAGTAGAGCCGGCCTTTACCAGGTAGACAAGCGGAAATTAGAACGTAGTGAGAAAGGTAAGTGATATTATTTTATACCTCATTACCAATGATTAATGCTTCATTTGTTGAAATTAGATATTACTACTGTAGCTATTTGTCACTGTTAAATTTTTCAAACATTATTTCTTTAGTTTAGATAAAATTTCAGTCGAAAAAGATACGATTTATCAGTTTAGCCTCGCTCTATATTTTACAGGTGACTATTAGTCATCGGTTTACCTGGATTTTATACCGCAATTAGGTTTATCAGTTTACAGGTAGTGAAACAAAGATGTTATTACCTCACACGTGATCACCTGTGTGTAAAAGACTGGTAGATTCTTATTACGCAGTAGAGCGTGGCGATTTCATGTAACATGTGCAGGGCGGAAATTAAACTACGCATTAGAACGAAAATGATGAAGGTAAGTGATATTTTATCTTAAGTTTAGATAAAATTTTACGTTATAAAATACTTCTTTTGATAATCTTTTTCATACTTGCTAACCCTCATTGGTAGAATGTCTGTTAACATATTGTCAATAATGCGAAATTCACGTATTAAATCATCCATATTATATATTACTCCTAGGTAAGACCGGATCAGATCAAGTAGTTTCTAGTAAGTTATAACAGATGCTAAACAGCCATGCTTTTTTATTAAAAGTCTTGGTTCTACTTTTTTTACACGCCGCTGTAAGGGAAACACTTATACCGGATATGATTAACAAAAACGGATTTAATGATGCCCCATTTGAAATTATACCAGAACTGGTCATTAACAACGGCAGATATGATAATACTCGAAGGATCTTGTTGTAGTTTTTGTAACATTTTTTTTACGCACCAAAGTTTTTTGTGATAATATTTGTAGTATTGTATTAGTGCGTATACATCCTGTCCTGGAATATCTTTTGAAATATGATTGGAATCAACTATACTTCTTTTCATTATAATATTTGTTTACATAATCCCCGGGCTTGGTTATGATAATTCAGCTATAAATTCCAAACACCAATGATAATCGGCTTCGACTGGAATTGTATCAACCGGTTAAGTAGAAGTCCTTTTTCAATACCTCTTAGTAATAATCTAGTTACAGTTACAGAAGACCTATCAAAATGACGAAATGAAGATGATGTGGTATATATTTTAAAATCTGTAATGCTAATCACTGACAATCTATACACACCAGTAACTTCTGCAGTGTGTTTGATAGAATTTTTGTTTTGCCATGTCCATGTACCAGATCCAGAAGCAACAGTATACACAATATTTTTAATCTGTTTGTGAGGAATTTTAATCTTACTCGTTTTCTTAACAATACTAGGAATATCATTAAAATGTCAGAATTAAATAGCACACTTGATAAGCATACAAACATAATTTATTTTAAGCAGCATAAAATATATCAGACAGCGGTTCCAAACACTACTGACTACACATGGAGGGTCACAACAACAAGCGAACAACTGCCAAGACAAATATTTGTCGTATTTCAACAGCACGCCCGACGAGGTAACCAACAACAATATTTGACCACGCTGATGTCAGACGAATATACGCTAGATTAAATTCAAAGCAATATCCAGAACCAGCTATAGAATGCAATTTTGCTGATGACGCTAATAAAAATATTTCTCCACCGTACATGTATCTGCTTGACGCAATGCAAAAATATCAAGATGTTGAAGATGGAACACATCAGCATAGGAATTTCGTACACTTTATCCTATATTTCATTTTGATGTTAGTAAACATAACGAGCGAATTGTAGACAGCACAACGGATATTGAAATTACCTGGACACTTGGGGTGGTTCCAGTAGCGCCGTTTTACGTATATGCATTAGTGATTAGTGAAAGATTGATCACGGTAGATTCTATTGGAGATAAAATGACAGTTCAAGTCTACAGTTGTTTTATAAAATGGCAAAATATATTGTAAAAGAAGTATATTTGACCGATGGCCAAGTTAAAAAATTAGTAGCTGCTATTGCAAAGCAAGAACAGGTATCATTAAAAATCAATCCTATTATTTCTGATGGTGTTTTAACAAAATTGACGCTAACGAAAAATCAAGTAAAGAAGTATGATCGTAAAAAAAAACTTGTTTTAAATTTTGAGTGCTGCACAAATGACAGCGATGGCAAACGACATTGTCGTCAAAGGTGGTTTTCTTGGTCCGGCATTATCAGTATTAGCTAGCACAATAATACCTAA